CCCAGGTCTGTGAGATACATTGGAAAGTAACCCAACACTATTATCATCCTGGAAGAAAGAATTGGCAAACCATTTCCATACTACAAGAAAACTACATCAGTGTTTCAGCTCAGTTCATATGCAGTTGTGGGGGGAAAAATGAAATTTTTGAAATACTCCAAGGAGGACAAAGAAATGAGTAAGTCAGGGCTGTGTGCATGTTCTCAAAGTTGATTGGATTGGTGTCTGTGATGGTGTAATTGGTTTTGTTATTGTTGTCCTCTGTTAATATTTTGATATAAGAAATGTTGACATTCTGAGTGTAGAAATCAGATCATTTTCTCACCAGGTTCATCAGATTGTTATAACTTTTCCAACTTCCTTCATATCTCAAATTCTGGGATGGGAAAGGATCTACAACAGGGCTGTCAAACTTGCAGCCTCTAGGCTTTTCCCCCCTTTGCTAAACTGGGGATGGGCATTGCCAACATGTGACACATCTGGCCGGTGGGGAGTGAGTTCGACAGCCCTGATATCCAGGATCAGATTTTGGTGCATCTGTGTGACCCATCAAAATATTTCAGGTGTTCTGGGAAAGAATTAGCAGTCGTAAGGTTGGAAGGGCATGGCATTGTGATTTCTACCAGAAGATCCAAAGCCAGAATTCTTGATTGATGAGCTTTGCAAAAAAAAATCATTGGGTGACCTTGAACATGTTGTTCATTTTTCATTGCAATCTTTATGATCCAGATTTATTATGAAGATAAATGAGCATAATTTTAAAGGCTTTGTACATTGACACATGAACTTCAGAAAGTAAAAAATATGAACATCTCATGGTGTCCCTTAAATTCAGTTAATAGCAAATTACCATTTCTTCCTGGAACATCATCCCTATATGTTTTTCCAGCTTTAGATGAAGAGATGTTGGCTCTGTCAGACCAAGATCTTTTAGAAAAAGCCCCCACTGTTATTTTCATTTGCTTTTTCGAAAGTGTCTTTGTCTGCAGACCACCTACTTTGGTAGTTCCTATGAATAATGAAGTTAACAGTGTTTTGGAAATATGTTAAAAGGCACCCTACCCTAAGGAATTAACAAGCTGTAAATCAGAATGGTCAAGCTTCTAGGTCTATTATTTTAAATTTTATATCCAAACTGAAAGTGAGATGCTCTCATAAAGGAAGGCAGCACTACCAATCTCTCCCTCATCCCCTGACTCTCTTTTGCACACACACAAATACCCCGTCAGGCCTACAATTATATTCCTTTTAGAATTTTAGCCTGCCACACTTTCTCTTATTTCATTATGCTGTTTCATTAATATAGTTGATGGGAGGGGGGAATAGAAAGGAGTAGGATTGTGGAATGTGTTGTTGTCATTCTTTTCTAGAAGACCAAGGTCATCTTTTGTCTCCGCACTTTTGCACCTGACCGGAAGCAGCTGGGTAGAGATGACAGTGTGGAAGAAGAAGATTGGACCATGTGATGGATTTGTGGGTGTGGGGACAAGATCATGAACTTTTAACTGGGTGGGATTCTGATGTAATTTCCAGAATTCAATTCAATTCAATTTATTAGATTTATAGGCCGCCCAATCCCGGAGGAATTGGGATTCCACAGATGTGCTAAGATGTCTGCTTTATTAAATTGGAACTTTAAGGATCATTTTGCCTTGGACTCTGATTTAATTCTACATCATACTTGGAACGCTGACATACCCATCCATATATAATGCACATATTTCCTTGATGTACTAGAGACAGAAGATTTTTCCTGGAAAAAATATATATTCCAAGTTGTAGTTTACTATAACCTCCAAACTGAGATACTACACTCCAGATGCAAGTCTGAAGAATATCCAAAACATCCAGGAATATTCTCATGGGTATATGAGTTTGAACTTTCTGTGCTCAAATCATTCTTAACTTAAACTCTAGGACTGTGATGGCCAACCTATGTCTCATGGAGCCATTTCTGAGGGCACGCGAGGCATTGCCCTATCAGCTCCAGCGTGCATGCATGCGCACACTGGCCAGCTGATTTTCAGCCTTGATTTTTGACCATTTTTTGCCCTCTGGAGGCTTCCCTAAAGCCTGGGGAGGGCAAAAAACCACCCAACATGCAAATCGAAAGTTCAGGAATGGACTTCCCAAATTCCATTTCCAAACTTCCAATTTGCATGTTGGGCCATTTTTTTGCCCTCCCCAGGCTCTTACAAAGCCTCTGGAGCCTGGGGAGGGTGTAAAATGGACCTACTGGGCACACTGGAAGTTGGAAAATGGGCCGTTTCTGGCCTCTTGGGGGATGAGGCCATTTTCACTCTCCCCAGGCTCCTAGAAAGCCGGGCACACATGCACAGGGCAGTAGGGGGGGTCATACATGCATGCACAGGAGGCACAGCATGGGGGGCATTAAATTATGGAGGTGGGCATGTGAGCGTGAATAAAAGTGCACATGCTTTTGGCACCTGTGGTGAAGAAGGTGCACTATCACTGCTCTAGAATCTGCAGAGGTAAATTGAGCTATTTTTGCTACCAGTAAAGGAATTCACAATATTTTCTTGTCTTAAAATACCTTTAGATTCCTTCCAGAGATAGTGGAAATAAAAAGGAGGAAGTGGGATATGAAAAAGTTAAAAAAAAACATATATGGGAAGATAGGAGCCGAGGTGGCGCAGTGGTTAGAGTGCAGTACTGCAGGCCACGTCAGCTAACTGCTATCTGCAGTTCAGCGGTTTAAATCTCACCGGCTCAAGGTTGACTCAACCTTCCATCCTTCCGAGGTGGGTGAAATGAGGACCCAGACTGTGGGGGCAATATGCTGACTCTGTAAAGCGCTTAGAGAGGGCTGAAAGCCCTATGAAGCGGTATATGTCTAACTGCTCTTGCTAAGTAAAGAAAATAAAACATTGCTTGCATGATAACTGCAACAGGCAATATTTTTGCAGCCAAAAGTGGTCCCCCCCCCCATTTTTCTGAGCATTTAATTAATAAAATAAAAGATAGTACTGGAATAAGTAGATTATCTTCTCCCATTTAGGCATTGGAGTTATTACAAATTAGGGACATGTTAAGTCTATTGTAAATTAAAACCTATTTATAATTGGCCAAATCATTGCTTTGGCAGGAAACATTGATCCTTGGAAACGTCAGGGGCCACTTATATTAGGACCCTCTTTATTTTAAGCTAAAATGGTTATTTATCTGTTTATCTGTTTGATTATTTGAATGATGACATACTAAGATAACTTATTAGTCTACATGCATTCATACTCAGCTATAATGTAAACAATCTCATCATAAATCCTGTGTTTCTTTTCCACTTTTTCTCACTAGTCTCATCTTTTCATCGTAGGTCCAACAGAAACCTGATTTTGCTTTTTCTGTCCCTAGCTAACCAACATGATAAATGGTGCTGGGGGAAAAAAACCTGCTGCCTGGCATGGATTCTAATTGGCCATGATAGTGGTCGGCTGCCGATTTGTTTATAAACTAGAAAATCTACAAATTGCCAGCCATCTGCCCAGAACAGTCTGCTAATGAATGCCTGCAGCCTGCAGATCCATACACTGATTGCCTCCATGTCTCTGGGCTGTCACCTGGGGTGATCTGATCAGGTTTGAGACCTGAAAATGAGTTGTGACTTAACTGTCATTGGCTAATTCTTATAGATATGAAATACTCATTGCAAAAGTGTAGATGATACACTTTTTTAATGTTTCAATGGAAGGTATGAGGGGTCCTTGCTCTGAGTTTGGTTGTTTTTTGGGGGGGATTTCCTTATCCAAATGAACATCATCAGTGCTATCAGTGATTATCATTGATGATGTTACCTGATTTGCATAAGGCAACATCTGCAAGAAAACAGCTAAGCTCAGAGAGCACCAAGGATCCTCATTTCAGCCCTGAGATACAAATATTCTCCTTTATGGATGGAAGATACAGTGTTTGCACTTAATTTCCCTGCTCTGCAGGATCAAGTACTTTGGTGTGGTTTCACATTAGCAGATTTGAGACAGCTCTCTGGAATGGAACAAACTTTCTCTCAGAGTTGGGCGGGGAGTCTTTAAGGTTCAGAGCTTGTGATTTTTAAGAAAAATCTTTGGAACCTCAGGATTGCTTCATGCCATGGGGAAAATACTAGCAGGGATTTCCCATTGCAATGCTTTCCCAAGAGAGGAGGGATGCTGCTTCTTTCCTTTGAAAAAGGAAAGGGAAGTCTCATAGGCTCATAGAATTGGAAGACAAAGAAATATTTGTTCATCACTCTGCCCAATTCTGAAGCTTCTGAAGCTGTGCTTTGATTTTGTTGCTTCCTTATGATATTTTTCAGCCATCTGCCTCAGTAAAGTGATTGCTCTTAGCTTTATCTCTGGAGATACTTCACATTATGTGAAGATACTTCTATTTCTAAAGTGTCTTGGTGTAATGCCTCAGCCAGGGAGGAGAATGGGGTTGTGTGTTGTGACTTTGCCTGGTCTATCCTACGCCTTTCTTTTTCCCATTATCTCCCAGGTTTGTACCTCTTCTCTGAATCTCCTTATTTGCCACATTTTTTTCCAGTTCTGAAGACACAGAACAGCATGAAGCTCTGCATTCTTGTTTTACCAGCTCTGTATCTCTCCTGCCCTTTTATCAACATCCTATTTTATTAATGCCTGTAATATATAGACTTCTGTATAGATATCCAAGGAAATGCATAGTGAATTCAGCTTTTCTCACTGTTCCTATGCACCAAATAAAGCAGGTTCCATATTATTTCCATGTCCTGCTTTTTTTCTCACCTGAATTCATTGTCATCCTGCTTTATCAAGCAGCTATTAATTGGAGGAGGATCATTTGATGCCATCCGAGTCTTTTCAATTCCCATTATACTTAGTCAACATGGATAGTGTTAAGAGATTCCAGGGATAGCACCAGATTTGTCTATTTTAATATAATTCATTTCAAATAGTGACCAGAGTGGTATATCAACATTCATAGTTTATGAATTGTTTTTTCTCCACTCACTTTCCTTTAAGGTGGAATGGCTTAAGAATGAAGAACCGGTCAATGCTGAACAGGATGAAAATATTGATACCCGAGCAGATCATAATCTAATTATCCGTCAAGCCCGTCTGTCTGACTCTGGGAACTACACTTGCATGGCATCCAACATTGTTGCCAAAAGAAGAAGCCTCTCAGCCACAGTCGTGGTGTATGGTCAGTAGGTGTGACATGCTGTAATTTCTTGGACTGAGTATCACTCTTGCTTGATCAATATTGTTAATGAATTCATCCATCCATTTATTTTAAGCATCACTGCTGGATGAGGATTTCCTGGAATTGAAGTCCACATATCTTAAAGTTGCCAAGGTTGAAAAATACTGGGTTAAAGCATCAGGCTAGAAACCAGGTGGCTTTGAATTCTGGTTCCACTCTAGATATGAAGACAGATGGATGACCCTGAGATAGACATTTTCTTTCAGCCCTAAAACAGAGATAATGGCAAATAACTTTTGAAAACAATGCCAACAAAATTGCAACAACTTGTCCAGGCAGTCTCCAAGAATTAAATACAATTGGACAGAAAGAAAAAAAGTTTAATAAACTTTCTACTCCTAATAGTAATAAGGAGACAGATCATGACAATGCTCCCTTTCCTGACTTCTAACTGTTCATGAACTACAGTATGTTTGCACCCAAGCAAAATATAATTTTATTATTGTTTTTAATAGCAATAACTTTTAACAACATTAAAATAACTTATTAACACTTCTCTGTTCAATCAAAGATTAAGATCCTTGATTTCAAAATAGAATTGAGAGCATAAAAGTTGTGACTACATAAATTCTATTTATACTTTGGTGAGAATGAGTGGGCATAAGAGGTACAAGTCAATTGCTCATTAGTGAATAGAAGTGTGTCTTGGTGGAGGAGGAGAATTATATTAATGTGGAACTGGGGCTATATATTCCCCACTTTTTTCTTAGATAGTAAAATATCAGTTATATTGAAGAGGAGTCTATAGTTGTCTATAAACTGCTGAAGCTCGACTTTCACTAGATGTAATCAAGGTAAGGATGTTGGGTAGTGCAGTTGAGCAATATCTTGAGATCCAAAGTCTAATGTATACTAATGATACCTGTCTGTACAACAGTTACTCAAACATAAGACATAGAATAACAATGACCTTACAGACATTTTTCAGACAGTTGAACCTGAAATGCAGCAGGGATGTTTTCTGCTGCTTTCTTTGTTTCATCTTTTCTTCTTATTAAAGTACCAAATGGCATTTCATTGATTAAGACCTAAGGATGTCTCGAACCTTCCCTTCGCTTCACTTCCCTCCTTTTCCTTATTGAAATGAAAACCCCTTTGGTCTAGTGTTAAGGTACCAGCCTAAAAACCAGGATACCATGAGTTCTAATCCTCTCTTAGGTCTGAAAGCCAGTTGGAAGACTTTGGGGTTGTCACTCTGTCTCACCCCAACTCACCTTATAGGAGGGGAAAATTGGAGGAGAAAGGAGTATCTTGAGTTATTTATAAAAATAATAAAGGTGGGATTAAAAAACACAATTTTTAAAAATATGCTTTGAAAGAATTAAAGTGAGCCTATGTCATCATTAGCTCCTTACCAAAACATACACATTTATTGATACTATAGGTGCATCTCAGTAGTACTTGATACTACTATAGGTGCATCTCAGTAGTACTTGCCCATCAGCATGTAAAATGGAAATGACGATAATTCTCACGTCTTCTTGTTTATAAGGAAAAAATAATGAAAATGGAACGTTTTGTAACAAAGACTGCCTGTTGTAAAATTCTAACATGCTATCTACCTGTTCCCCTATATTTGTGTTTGTATAGTGAACGGAGGCTGGTCTTCTTGGACGACTTGGTCGAACTGCAATGCCCAGTGTGGCAGAGGAATGCAAAAGAGATCCCGCACATGTACCAATCCTGCTCCCCTCAATGGTGGTGCTTTCTGCGAAGGAATGTCGGTACAGAAAATTACCTGCACATCATTGTGTCCCAGTAAGCAAGATATCCTGATAACAGTGTAGCTGGGAGGCAGGGCCCTTAGCGCTTGTAGAGCCCCAGGCTCGGGTTCATAGCCAGGTCCTTAAAGCTTTAGGGAAGGCTAATAGGGTTGGGGGCATTCTAATCACTGGAGGATGTTTCACAGAGCAGGGCTGCTGCAGAAAAAGCTTGTCTTTTTTTAAATGAAATTTTATTTTTCCTTTCATATACATTCACAAATATACATTCTTGTAAATACTCTTGACATTTATCTATTAGCTATTAAACATTTATCACAATCTTCTCATGAATATAGAAAACACATTTGGGGTCACTTTCTTGCCATCCCCTACCTCCATCTTGTTTCACAACAACCCTACTCCTTCCATCTTCTCAACCTTCCTTCTCTGCCTTCTCCTTTCTTCCTCCTCTCCTTCCTCTTTTCTTCTTCCCTTCCCCCACTCCTCCTCTCTTCTTCTCCTTCTTATCCTCTCTCCTAGTCTTACTTCCCCTCCCTTACCTCCTCTGCTTTGCCCTTTCTTCTTTCCCCTCAGCTACCTCCCTCCTTTCCGTTGTTGCCCTTACTTATTTTCTTTCTCTAATAGCAATAGCAATAGCAGTTAGACTTATATACCGCTTCATAGGGCTTTCAGCCCTCTCTAAGCGGTTTACAGAGTCAGCATAT